GGTGCCCTATCAAATGAAACAATCATGAAACTCGAAGTGTAAATTCTTATTGCAGCGGGTCAGGCCCACCCTCACCTATCAACGGAAGCCTCGAATACGACGTCGAGACGGCATCTAGGCCCTTGTTTGATGCAGCATCCACGCGGCCTTTGCCAGTGGCCAGCAAGTCTTCAGGAACCATACCCACCACATCCTTGGTTTGGTTGGCTTGGGCAGCTGCACCCACGTGCTCTCCGCCAGTTGCCAGCAATTCTTGAGGAGCCATAGCCACGTATCTTCCCTAAGCTTGCCGAGCAAACTATGAGCGGTCGGTCTCTGGCGATCTCCGCTTAGTGAGCCCTCGCCAGCGAGAGAGAGAGAGAGAGAGAGAGAGAGAGAGAGAGAGAGAGAGAGAGAGAGAGWGAGAGAGAGCGCTGCAGCCGCCGTCCCGCCCGTGAAGGCAAAGAAGGTGAAGCAATGTCTTTTCAGACTTCACCAGAGAATGAACGGCATACCTTTCTCGGTCGTCTAGCTATAAGTAAGATCAAGTGAAGTATCTGTTCTGATCACATCCGGGCCCGTGTCCCACTTCTCGAGGTTTTTTTTTTTTTTTTTTTTTTTTTGGAAAAGGTTCGAAAACTTTCATTGCACAAATAGAGGATGAGGCCGGAATCCTCACAATCCTCACAAACAACCCGGGGCAAGGTCCMACTTGCGCAAATTAGGAGATATCGGCCGTTGATCTTTGCTATCTACGGTCAGTATCTCTTAATTCGCGCAAGTGGGACCTAGGCCCCGGAGAGGTGCTGGGCCAATTCGCAGCCAGTTCGCGTATACAGATGTTTTTTGTCGTTTAGCGAGCCCTTTCCTGATGGGGAATGTGGCCCACTGCTTATAAGGGTATACAGGGGGTCTTTGCGTGCAAAAGAGGGCTGCTGGGGGTCACAAGGCAACGACCGGTCGTTCGTGCGGGCAGTGTGGTTACTGTCGCTGAAGAGTGCTTTTAGTGTGGTTACTGTCGCTGGAGAGTGCTTTGTGGTCGTTGAGTGATGTGCGGGCAGCGTGAGGTCGTTGCATAGTGTGTAATAGCAGGCAGATGCATAGGTCATGGGGCTGTTTTCGGACGGAATAGCAGGCAGATTCATCGGTCGAGAAAAATTGCATGAAAAGTGCTTCCACATTATTCTTTGCTATGTTGATGTAAGCCTTGGGTACTGGGGCGATCGAGCTCCTGAATCTAGATGTGTTTGAASCAGAAATGCAGAAAAGCAATTCAATCTCTATTTCCTGCACATCTCCATAAATCTCGTCCACATTCAGGCATTCTATCCGATCCTCTTTGCCAGTGGGACAACCAGGCTGGGGCCGTTTGAATTTGAAATAAAAAAAGTCCAGCAATCCAGGGGAAAAAGAAAAAAAAGGAAAAAAAAGAAGGAAAAAAAAAAAGATTKACGTGCTGGACTCCGATAGCTGAGGTGAAATATAGGGCGTCGCTGCACTACTCTCGACATGCACAACAGACAAAAATCATGGCCGTGTATCTTTCCATATTCTAGCAGAAGATTCGCTCTCGTTTTGCACATTTCGAGAGTAGTGCAGCGAGGCCCATAATCCCCGGGATAACACACAAATTAGGAGTGAGTAGTCAGGCAGAACATGAGCGACGAGCATATCCAGCCAGATCCGGGGTTACTGGAAGCTCGCGGATCGTTGTGCGAGCAGCGCAGATGGATACTAGAAAGTGATGACCCATACAGAGTCGTCACCCGGGGGATAATTCCCGATGCGGGCAGTCCGTCGCCCCGCACCTCCAAATCTGGACGCGGGGTGATCGTGCGTGCGAGCGCTTATGCACGCGGATGTGTCCCGCTGCTTTGATCTCGGCGCGGGGAGTGATCGTCCGTGTGCACGTCTCCGCACGTGGCCTATCAGTCCCCCCGATCCGATCTGAGGCTGCGTGGAAGAGTGTGCTGCCGCGCGCGAGCTTTCCCCGTCCAATCTGTGGTTGTGCGGATGCGCGGGCTGTCGCGCACCAAGCTCCCCCCCCGTTCACCCTGCGGGTACACAGATGTGCGCGCAGTCGCACGCATGTTTCCCGTCCTATCAGTGGCTGTAGCGGGTATGAGGCTGTCACGCGCAAGCCCCTCCGTTCGCCCGCGCAAGCGCGTGAGAGCGCGGGTGCGCCTGTCCCGATCCACAAGCCCGCAGCTCGCCTAACCCCTTAGAGCGAGCAATCGTGCGCGTGCGGTCCTGATCCGCGCGCATGCGTCGGCGCCCCACTGCTGAGCTGGTGCACCTGCCCGTGCGCTGTGTCCAATCCGTGCATCCGGGCGCCTACGTACGCGAAGGGGGGTTGCGCGTGGATGCCCGGTGCTCGTTCCGCGAGGTTGAGCGCCCGTGTAGTAGTGCGCCCGCGCACCTCTGTGCTCATACTTGTTGCGGACACCGGTGTGTCCTGACGCGTAGTGTGGCGTGAGGTCGCGTCCCTCCTTTCCCCCCGTGCGAGTTACCTGTCTTCTTCTTCCTCCGTGCATGTCCGCGGGCGTCCTTCCCTCTGTGCGTCTTTCACTCCCGTATGCGAGAAGTCTCCCCCCCCATTCGTGGTCCCTCGTGCGCCCTCCTCTTGTACATGTCGGAAGTGCGCTCCCGGTTCAACTTATATACTTTGTCGGGCCCCCTCTCGAAGTGTGTCCCAGTCCTTGTGTGCACCGAGGCTGCCAACAAGTTGCAGCGCCTCGGTACCGAACCTGTACCCGAGCCCGATTGGGCCCTCTAAGAGTTTCAGGCGAGGAGGGTCTTTTTGTCGGGAACCGGGCCTTTTGCAGCGCCGTAGTACCGGTGTCAGGCGGCCACAAGTAGTGCGCCGCCTGAAAATGGCGGTTTTGGGACTTAGGCTAAGGGCGAGTCCGTGTTTTTACGGTACTTTGGTCTGACCGGGCAGCAAAAATTATGAGAACTTAGGGTGCCCCTGATTTTGGGCGCACTGGATTTTTTGAGTAACCCTCAAAGATGGGGAGATGGGTGGCCGCACTCGGCATATCTAGGGACTGACATTTCCGACCGTTCAGAGGGTTAGACCCGGATTGGCCTGCCGCGGAGAGGGATCAAGGGAGTTGACCTCGCCGCAACGTTTCTGCCGCATACGAGCGGGGCTGTGATGAGGCCTTAAATTTTTGTCTATTTTAGTACCATAATTAAAGATGGGGAAGAGGGATTAAGACCAGTAAGGGAGAAGAGAAAAATATAATATTCCTTATTTCTTTATTTTTCACGGCATTTAATTCTAGGAGGAAAACCCTTGTTATTTTATGTAATCGACAATGAAATTAAAAACATGG